CTGGCGATGCGACCGTCTTCGGTTTTGGGGATTCTCAAAAATTGTCGAAGCCCTATGGCGACAGGCAAGGAATGTTCTCCCCAAAAGGGGGTCTGGAGAGATGCGCAAGCCCAGTACTCATAGGGCATCCATCCCAACGGCTGCGTCGAGCTAAGGGTTCCTTGCTAAACTTCCAGTTGCTTAAGCCCCCTGGAAAAAGCAAACATATTTCCAGCAGTGATAGATTCCCTTTCAAACCCAAGGGACAACAAACAATATTCTTAAGCAAACGGATTGTTTACAAGGAGATACCAAATGACCCATTTTCCCCTGAACAACGCATGCTGAAAGGTACTTCACCGGATCCGTGCGGGGGGGTCACTGCGGCTCCCAGCGCTGAACTGTCGGCGTTTTGGCCTTGGCATCTTCCAACAGCAAGGATCGGGTCCCACTCTTTTGGGACACCTACGCTTTCTTTCTTCGACTTGAAGCAGCAGGCATCTGCACTTTTTGGATCGCACAATGCACGGCTTGTCCAATTTCGCCACGCGGCGATGATAGGCTTTGACTTGAGCAAGTTGACTGGGAGTTGCTCCTTCAACGCCAGCAAGAAAGAGTGGAGTTGCCAGTGTGTATTGCAGAGCACAAATCTTCCTGGACCTCCAATCGGCAGGCTAACCTTAGTTTGCCTTTACACCAAGCTAAGGGTGGATTTGTCGAAGCCATCTCAAGCTCAAGTCAAGCCTCCCAGCTTCATCTAAGATGCACATGTTGCTTACAATGGGGTGAGAGCTAACGTCGCGACGTGAACGCTCCCTTGCGGAAAACCCGTCCACTTGCCACCTGCCTCACTGCTGCCATTTGCTGGCTCCGTGAGACTTCAACAATCTCGTTGTACTAAAAGTTGCCCACTCGCATTCACCCAAACCGAACACTCAAAATAGTGGACGGTAACCCCATTCGCGTTCCACTTCCGCGCTCACGCACGCTCAATCGCACTCCATTTGCTGAGGCCAAATGGGTGTGATGTTTTGCGGGGACCCCCCCACTCCCAAAGTTTGGGCATTGAATGGCACCCCACATGGCATTTTAGAGGGTTTCCTGAGACATGTCTCTAGGGAAATTGTTCAAACAACGGTTTCTTTTGAAACTGCCAAACAAGAACTGCTCTCCTGCATATGGATATAAAGAATCCAAACGACTATCATGTTCAGAGACTGTTCAGAGGAATCTCCTTTGGGGAAACCCGCCTTTGCTTTTACATGTTCATTGTGTGGGGGAGTATTCATCCAAGCCTTTTTTTACCGGAGGTCTGCGAATACCCCCCTCCACAAAACGTCGATCCATCTTGCGCCAAGACCGCCCACCAGCTTTTGGGGTTCCAGGCTCCTTTGCACGGCTCCCAAAAGAGGCCGTTGTTCTAGGAACTACTCCAACAAAAACGACGCCAAGTCACCAAAAAGAATGGAGACGAGGAGCAAGCGATTGGGTTGCCATGTTCAGCGGGAATCTTTGGGGCACCCCGGCACCGGCACTCCCTTTTTTGGGCTTGCGAGAGAAGCCAACGGCACGGCATCCCCACTTTCGAGTCCGAAAGTGACGACACGTACGCGGAGGCTCAGGGCGGGCAGCACTGGCAGCACTGGCACTTTGCCAGGCAGCGAAGGGTCAGCGAGCTCAGATCCGTCGCTGAGCGCCGGCTCGCGTGGCTGGACCGGGAGTCCTTGGTTGAGAAACATCAAAAATGATGCGTCTCTGTTTGAGTTGGTACGCCTTGTTTGGCAGTTTTAACTTTTAGGGAGACCAAAAGAAAACCACCATTTTGGCAGGTCCATGAAACAAGACACCGCCCTTTGGGTGTAAATTTTAATAGGGGCACCCCTTGAGATTCTTCATGCGCACCAACCACCTTGCGCGCCCTAAGGAGATGCGGTGGTTGGTGTCCTTTTCCCCGAAAAATCGTCCAAACACACTAGGGATGTGCGTACCACACATTTAGCGGGGATCCGATGATCCGGTTCCTGGGAAGAAGGAAACATACGTCCAGTTGGCTTGCTTTAGGGGGAGTCAAACATCATGGTTGCTATTTGGCGACCAGAAAGCTTGCATGACCCATTCTTTTTTTGTCAGGTTTGCTAAGACCCATTGGAGATTTGGCTCCTAGAAAAGCTTGCTCAAGCCCCCTGAACACTGGCTTTAGGGTTGCGTTGTGGATGTGGTTCGCGAGTTTTGGGCTTGTGTTGGGCCCAAACCAGCCCAAAACTTGCATAACCACGCCCTGAAGCAGCCCAAGGGCTACTGTACTGCAAAAACGAGCCGCATGCCCAGCAGAAATAAGCCCAAGCCAACCCAAACCAACTCAAAGTCAACCTTAAACCCTCCCAACAGCATCCTGGAAATCAGCCCTTTGCTGAGCCCAAATGAACCCCAAACAAACCCCAAACCCGCCAAAGCGGATGCTAGGGTTGCGGCCGCGCAGTCCCACACACACACACACCCAGAAAGAAACGGTAGGCTTGTGAAAAGAACGACGAATGAAAAGAATGGGGAATCAACCTTCTCAACTTTCATTCAGAAGGCACACATGTCTCGCTACACCATTGCCCCAGAGTCCTTAGACAAACACTGCTCAAAACATACCACGCCCACACCATCACGGCTCTCGTTTTACCACAACACGCCCCTTTTCGGAGATGTGAAAAACCTCGGGCCAAGAGTCTGGGGAGTTCTTGCTGGAGGACATCTTCCTCACCCCAAGCTGCGGAGTGGACATGAAGGAGGACAGGCGCTTGGCAGGCGCTTGCCCGGAGTTGATCGCCTCCTGATCCAGGGGTCCATGTTTAGCGAAGACTTCTGCATGCCAACAACCCCTGGGCTGAGGTTTCTTGGTGACCAAACCAGAAGGCTACAAGCAAAAGTTGCCCTGGCAACACACGGAACAAAGAGTCACGGTCAAACAACGCTTGGTTTGGGAGGTACAAAATCCTTTTTGGAAGACTCGTTCCCACATGAAACTGACTCGGGTTTCAATTTCACACCGCAAAGGTTCTTTTGGGCTCAGACCCTTGAGCCGAGCCCGAAAAGAGAGGCAACCTAAAGGGGTACGCGCAACAACCCACGGGGGTAGCATGGAATCCGTGTGGGACATCCCAAACAGTTGAAAGGACCAGTGTGCTGTTCAACCATTTTTTTTCAGGAGTCTTCATCTTTCCTTCTCTGGAAGGAGCACACTGTTTGTCTCATGTTGTGTGCAGTCTTGTGAGAAATATGTCCCGGAATCCATCGAAGCCAAGGATGCCTCAGGGATGTAGCCGTGCGTATGCTTGATTTCCATGGCCCAGATCTGGTGTACTTTCTAATTCGGTTTCATATTTCATCTACCGTAAACCGGGCTGTCCAAACTGATCCCCTGCCCAAAAAAAACCTTCTGGGTTAAATGGACACTAGCCAACAAACCAACTAAGAATCCAAAAACCGATTGAAAACAATGGCTGCTATCCACAAAGTAACATATATATATATATGTATGGTCAACCCCCCCGCCCAGGGCCTACCTTTCCTCTCTTCTAGTTGAAGGTGTCAAGTCTACTCTGTGTGCCTCATTCTTGCAGATGTGAAAACACAGCAACATGCAGCGTGTTGTTGTTGTTGTTGTTTCCTTTTTGTTAAACCTTCTATATGACAGCAACTGTTTGCTTTGTTTCAGCTTGAAAGGCAACAAAGCGAACACGGATTCCGTTTTCAGATTCGAGTCTGGCTTTGATTGAAAACACTGCTTTTTGCAGTGGTATTGAGCACACCAGGAACAACCATTGAAACACTGTTATTGTTTTGCAGCTTTGAGCTCTGCAATCTGCACAAACCCAAAAGCACCACATCTGCTGAAAATGAAAGCTCTGAGACCTGCACATGCCAAACAAATCTCCAGACCAATTTTGGGAGTCTGGAGATATTTGCTATGTGTTTGTTTAGCCACATTTAATCTAAATCATGTTTGGGAATGCGTTGCAAATAAAAAATGTTTGCAAAGGCCCAGTGTTTTCTTTCCAGATTCAGCTCCATTCTAATTTAAGTCATATTTGGGGAGGTTTCCTAATGACATTTTCTATGTTCAAAAGCCAACTGAATTCTGTCTAAACTCTACTGAAATGTTTATTGTCCTTATTTGGAAAGGCATTCCTATTCAAATTCTGATTAAGCATATAAATTATGGCGAATTATGAATTGTGGTGAACTATGTCCTTACTAAACTCTATTTAACATTCCAACTCAATTCGTATTAACATCATATTTGGAAAGGAATCTATATTTGGACATGTTGGAGGACTCCCGGCTCCAAATTATGAGGCTTGGAGAATCCAACATTAGACATTTCGAGGATGCTGATCTCCAGATTCTAGGTCCCAGGTGTTTTCAAAATACACATTTCAAGGGATTAGAGGTCCAACACTATGCTGTAAAACGCAGTGTTTTGCAGAAATTGCTCAGATTGTGTTGCCTTGGACTCTTGTTCCCCAAACAACAGTATCCATTTGCCACGTATTAAGCCTACCGAAGGTTTATAAACTTGCAGGAAACTTTATAAATCATCTTGAGTGTTTGGCGGTTTCCTGCAACAAGGCAACACCCTGGGTCGTCTTCATGGTCATGGTATCGTTGAAGGGTGGGTGGGTGGGTGGGTGGGTGGGTGGTGTGGTGGGTGGGTGGGTGGGTGGGTGGGTGGGTGGGGGTGGGTGGGTGGGTGGGTGGGTGGGTGGGTGGGTGGGTGGGTGGGTGGGTGGGTGGGTGGGTGGGTGGGTGGGTGGGTGGGTGGGTGGGTGGGTGGGTGGGTGGGTGGGTGGGTGGGTGGGTGGGTGGGTGGGTGGGTGGGTGGGTGCGGCGGGGGTGGTTGGAAGTCTCAGCAGTGTGACTCAACCAACTTTGTCAAGATTGTAAAGACTTCTCATCCCCCCCCCTCCCCCCCGCTCCCCTGTTCCAGACTTCTCAAAAACATGCCAGTTGCCTTGTTGCAGGGAAACTGT